ATACAATTAAAAAAAAATATGAGCTGGTGTGGTGGTGCACACTTTTAATCCCAGCACTTGGGAGGCACAGGCAGGCGGATCTTTGTGAGTTCAAGGCCAGCCCGGTCTACATAGTTCTAGGACAGCTGGGGCTACAAGGAGACCCTGTCTCAAAAAGACAAAAAACAAAACAAAACAAAACAAAAACTATAACCCTTTATGGTGATGTTTCAGTACTAAAAAAAAAAACAAAACAGGCAGGCGGATCTTTGTGAGTTCAAGGCCAGCCCGGTCTACATAGTTCTAGGACAGCTGGGGCTACAAGGAGACCCTGTCTCAAAAAGACAAAAAACAAAACAAAACAAAACAAAAACTATAACCCTTTATGGTGATGTTTCAGTACCAGTAGATATTTCAGCTTGGTGTTTGTGCAGTCTAAGTATGCTTTTATTCCAGATCATATAGAGCAGTTAAAGCAACTAGAATGGCATTTTTTGAACTGTATTGTAAAATAATAAAAGGTAACAATAAAAAAAAAAGTAGTAAAAGTATTTGCCATTTTAGAAAAAGTATTATTTGCATTCACCCCAGACTCTAGGAGCTCTGAGACCCAAGCACTGTTCTGGTGCTACCATCCTCTGCCTCTCTGTCCTGGAGGACCTACCTTTTCTAGCATTTCTGGCAGCCCTCTTCCCTCTCCCATAGTCTCTTGCAGCCCTGCCTCACCGGATCTAGCTGAAAGGCAAGTGTAGCATCACAGGCACCATGCCCCCAAAGAAAATTCCCATGCCAGCCCCCACCCCTTTCTCCAGCACACTCCTCTGGAGCTTGACTCATGAGCACCAGACCTTCTCTCACCTGCCTGCTCTATATCTAGCCTGTGCCCCTAGCAAGCATCTCAAGGCAGAAGCCTCCATTTTCTACTCTCAAACCCTGTCTTCCTGTTATTCCTCTGCTCAGTAAACAAGTAGGTTCTTGTTGCCCAACACCTATCACATTATCCATTACACTTTTTTTCTCCCCTCATGGACTTCATCACTCATGACTGGACAGCCTATCTACTTAGAGCTTTTGTCCATTTTATTCCCAGCATCTAGATGGGGCCTGGCATAGCTGTACTCAATATGCATTAGTTTAATGAATGTATCAAGGGTCTGTTTGGATTAAATCCATTGTATTCTGTGACCTGGAACCACACTTTAAATAACCAGGGACTCCATGTGTTTAAGGCCTTATCCTGCAGCATGTACATACCAGAGCCCAGTTTAGCCCAGGCCTTCTGACCAGCACCACCTAGAGCCCTGAGAATCCAGTCTCATGTTTCTCCCTAAAATGAGCAAACCAGTCAGCTCCTTCCCATGATGGCCCTACAGGTAGAGCCGTGACAGGACCTAGTCTTCCTTACCACAGTGCACCCGTTGTAGAGGTTATGCTGGTCCTTGTGGGCATGAGCACAGAAGTCCATGCAGGCTGTGACACCAGAGAAGGGTCGCCCTTCCTTCAGCCCCAGGCGGCAATCGATCGCTACTTCCTCATTGGTTACCTGTGTGAATAGCCAAAAAAGCTGTTCAGAAGATCTGAAGTGACTGCACCTGGAGGCCAGGTCTTAGAGGGAAGCACATTAAGGATCATAGCTGTCTTGTGAACCTGGACCGCAGGAGGAAGGTTTTCTGGCCGAGAGACCCCAGATACAAAAGAATGTCTATCAAGCTGCACAGAAATCACTCCCTTCTGGGTTATCCTAAGCTTTTCTGAAAGATGCTGGGTGGGAGAGAAGCTTAATCCTCTGCAGGGGGAACTGGGCCAGAGGTGCTAGAGGACCACCAGGGGAAGGGGAAGATAGGGAGTTTGGGATAGATGGCATTGGGTACAGTCAACTTGTGTAATCAAAGTGTCTTAATCAAAGCACCACACTTCCTCCACTCCCAGGCTGAGCCTTCTGTGACAGCACAAAAGGCACCTCGTAGAGAAAGGGCCAGGCCCAGTACCTGGTTCTGATAGGCCTGAGGAGCCAGTTGTTTGTACAGGGGAGCTACTTCAGTGGCCAGGTCCTGGAAACTATTCCGGAGCACTTCTTCCTGCAGAGAGAAGAACAGTCATGCATATCTAGAATGGCCCTGCCTAGCGAACTTCATGCTAGAAATGAGAACCACTGCCAGGTGCCACCAGGAAGGCAGGTAGCAGGTGCCATCAGGGTTTCAGTGTTCCCTCTACTGTGTCCATTTTAAATTTGGGGATACTGAGGCTTATCAGAAGCAGTCAATGCAAGAAGGTGCAGTCATCCTAATCAAGTGTCTGCTCTACTAGGGAGCACACAGCCCCATTCAGTCTGGGACAATCAGCAGGCTCTGGCCTTCAGAGCTGAACACTCTAGATCACATGTGTGGTATGGCAGGTAGGAAAATCCCCTGAGCAACAGGTGTGAATTCTTTTTCCCATGTTAGAGAAAGGAAGGCAGAAGGAGACAGGACTCTGCTGAAATTCACAGTCAGCTTGGCCCAGGACCTATCACTAGCCAGGTGTCAGACAAACACAAAAGCTCTGACTGTGAGAGCCCATAGAAATGGAAGTTAATTGTGAAGTGGGTCCCTCAGTGGCTCCATGTGATTCCTGCACCAGAAAGCAGAGAATGTCCCCAGCATCAAGAAAGCTCCACATTGAGTGGTAGCTACTTTGTTACATGTAGCGGAGCTTCTGTTGCCTCTCTGGCCTGCCAGTGGCCAGTAGGGCTTGCAGTGGTTAGAAGAGGCCATGAGCATGGGCACAGGGTGTTTATGAAGAAGGAAGCAGGATGAAGCAGCAAGCACACAGGGTAGAGATGGAAATGGAGAATGGCTCAGCCACCCACTAGCGGGGTGTCAGAGCCTAACCATTGCCCTGAATGCTGTCAGAGACTGCCATCAGCACAGCAGGTCCAAAGTGACACAACACCAAGGTGAGACTCATAAAGCAGAGGCCTGGGGTGGAACCTTGCCTTCACCATAAACTAGCCTTGAGTAGGTACACTTTAATACATTCAGGCAAAACACCACTCATCTGTAAAGTAACAGTGCCTAGGTTACTGGGCAGTCCTGAGATACCTGTGGTACTCAGCACAGTATTTAGCATACAGCAAAATACACAGGACATGGTGGTTGACAGAACCAGAGATGGATACTAGAGAAATTAAGTCAGTCTTTTTAATTAAAAAATTTTACTTTTATTATATATGTATGGGTATTTTGCATGAATGTATGAAAGTGTACCTACTTTATGCAATGCCTGGAAGGTCAGAAGAGGGCATTGGATCCCCTGGAACTGGCATTATGGACAGTTGTTAGCTACCATGTGGGTGCTGGGAACCAAACCTGGGTCCTCTGCAAGAGCAGCAAGTGCTCTTAACCACTGAGCCACCTCTCCAGCCTGAGCCAATGTTTTTTCTTCTTCCGGGTAATTCTTAGGTCCTGGAGTTCCTCCTCATTGAAACAACTGTATTTACTGCTTCAGGAAGAAGGGATCTTAGCTTAAGTATCTAGTATTAAATCACTCTACTTTAAGCTTATAAAATTGTCTAAAAGGATTTTTTGGGGAGGGATTCTGAATTTGAAAATGGTTCTTTTTAACGATTTACTTTTATTTATGTGTATGTGTGTATGTTAGTGAATGGCATGTGTGAATATGTGTGTGTGTCCATGGAGACCAGAAGGGGACATGAAATTGCCTTGGAGATAGAATTATAGGCAATTGTGAGCTGCTCAACATGGGTGCTAGGAAATGAACCTGGTCCTCTGAAAGAGCAGCAAGCACTCTGAACTGCTGAGTCCTATCTAGCCTGCCCAAAATGGTTCATTTTACTTATGAAGAACAAAGCTTGGAAGATGTATATGTGGGCAATGGAGCAGTGAAGAAATGCCCAGCAGATGTCCCTGTCCTTAGTAAAGCTTAGTTGTGCTGGATAGCTTTAGCGTCAACTTTACATACCTGGGTTGAGGGAGCCTCAATTGGGGAATTGCCTCTATTGGACTGGCCTGTGGCCATGTCTGTGGGGCATCTTCTTGATGAGTGATGTGGGAGGGCCCAGGCCACTGTGGGTGATGCCACCCCTGGGCAGGTGGGCCTGTGTTGTTGCATAAGCAAGCAGGCTGAGCAGGGGCCAGGGGAGCAAGTCAGTAAGCAGAGTTCTCCATGGCCTGTGCTTCAACTCCTGCCTCCAGATTCCTGCTCTGAGTTCCTACCTTGGGCTCCCTCAGTGATGAGCTGTGACCCAAGAGATGTAAGCTGAATAAATCCTTTCCTTTCCAAGTTGGTATTGGTCAGAGTGTTTTTGTTACAGCAATGGAGAAGCAAACTAGGACATTAGTCTTTCTGGCATTTGGAGCTTCAAGCTTTGTAAGGTTGATCTTAACCACCGAGCCACCTCTCCAGTCTGAGGTGGCTGCATCAAGATGCCTGCCTGTATCCCAGCAGAGGGACCAGTCTACTAACTACCCCTGTAGGAGCACAGGCAGGAGGGAAGAGGTCTGGAGGTGGAAGACAGTGTGCTCAGAGGCTCTGCTTTGTGTTTGGAATTCTGAGATCACCTCTTGCTATGGCCATCTCAATACAGGGCACTGAAAATATGGCAGTAGGGAAGTGGCCTGAGCTGATACTCATGGTTCCTATATTCTTGGTGTAACCTGTAGGAAAGATCCTGAGGCCTTTGTCCTGTCTTCACAGGGATGAGAGGCTTATGAGCGAAGGGCATGGTGAAGCGCCACAGAGACATCATAGCTTATGGATATATGTGTAGACCACCACCCAGTACCCAAGGACAGGCCCCCGGCATGGAGACGAGGGCCTGGCTCTGGGCATGGATGCCCAAAATGTCTGCCCAGCAGCTGGGTGGGACACAGGATACTTCACCAAATCCAGCAAAGATTTACAGGGTCACCCACAGACAGAAGGGTCCTCTTCCTGCTATATGGTCTACACCCCAAAAGATGTACCAGAAAGAAATGACCCTTCAAGAGGATCAAATTCAGATGAGAAAGCTGAATATACTTTTTTTTTTTTTTTTTTTTTGTTTTTTTGAGAGAGGGTCTCCCTGTAGCCCCAGCTGTCCTGGAACTCACTATGTAGACCAGGCTGGCCTTGAACTCACAGAGATCCGCCTGCCTCTGCCTCCCGAGTGCTGGGTTAATACACTTTAAGTACTCAGAATAATTACTTTAAAGTGACTGTTTAAATGGTAAGAGTCTGAGGGACTTCTAGCTACATCTAATTTTCCACACTTCCTGCCACACACTTCATTTCACAGGAGGGTAAGGCTACTGAGAAAAACCAAAGTTAAGCAAGTTACATTTTCTGTATCTGTTCTGGTGTGGCTTTTAAGGACCCAGTTGGGAAAGGATGAGGAGGGCCCTGCACGCTCTGCTCACCTCCTTGGGATTGTCCCCTACGAGTCGGAACTTGCGTGGTGTCTTGCTCCGAGCATACTTGCAGCCATTGAAGTACATACTCCAAGAACATCCAAAGGAGAAGGAGGCACCACAAGTGTTGGGGTCTTTGCCTTGGCAAGCGCAGGTTCGGCTGCAATGTACGTCACAGGTCAGGCATACCAATGTGATCTCACTTTTTCTGTTATCTTTTTCTCACCCTCAAGGAGAGGCCCTGCAGGGGTCTGGTATTCACCAGGCTCCCAGTGACCAGGACTTATCCTTCCCAGCCCAACTCCTTCAAATTTTCTGATGCAAAAAGCATTTTCAGCAGTTTGCTTAGGTCCCAGCCCTGGGGCTGATCTTCTCAGGGTCTGCTATTAGGAGAAGCACATGGTTTAAGAAAGGACTAGAATCTAGTCAAAGTTCAGGAAGGTTCATGCTTTACTTTAATTCCAATACCCCACGCCAGCTCCATTGCAGACCCCCAAGCAGGAAACACTCTGAGCCTGGGGTTTGAACATGCCTGCTTCTTAGAGCTCAGAAGTTGATAGGCCTTGAAGCCAACACTCACATTAAATTCAACACTCAATAAAATCTGCAGACAACCCAAAGTTTCCTCAGTTGGGATTGGATAAACATTATGACAATCCACATAGTGGAATCACACTTAATGATCAGGAGTGAGATACTGACACATGTCAACACAGGTGGCCTCTGAATGCTCATGCATGGTAGAACATGCCTGTTGAGAAGGCTACAAACCATTGGATCATTCTTGTAGAGGCAAACTCAAAAAGAAGGGGGACACTGAAGGGAAAGGATTGCAGGTAAGGGTACGGGGGAGGGGGGGAGAAAGAAATGTGATGGAGCTATTCTGTGTGTTTAAAAAATTTTTAAATGAGAGAGAGAGAGAGAGAGAGAGGGAGGATGAATATGATATGTGGACATCGAAGGACAACTTGTAGGAATTGTTCTCTCCTCCCACTGTGTGGGTCCTGGGGATTGAACTCTGTCAAGGCTTGGCAGCAAGTGCCTTTAACCACTGTGCCATCTCACTGGCCCCTGTTGTCTAGCTTGACTGGGGTCCTGGTGGCTATTTGACTATAGACATTTATTAAAATCCTCCAGAAAATCCTCCAGATTATACACCTAAAGGATAACTTGATTGAAAATAAATACACCCTAATGAAAGAATGGTGTAAACTCAATAAAGGTAGGTTTGGTAAATACCAATAGCACAATATCTGTGGGCTACACATAGTTTTTACACACTTGGTAATGTTGACTTGGGGCTTAACAGAAAAGCTGAGCCAGGGCCAGAACCCTGAATTCCTACGCCTGCTGCCCAGGGGCCTGTGGAGACATTGGCCCCATTGCCCACCCACTGCCATTTTGTCACATACTCATCATTGAGGCCACATCTCCGGCTGGTGGGGTTCCCATACTTCCGGAGGGTATCAGTGAGCTCCTGGTACAGGGTGTCTCCAAGGCTTCGAGGGATGCCCTCCCAGGCCAGGATCAAGATGACAATCACAGCATTCTGGCAGTGGTGGCCTGCTCGGTGCCGTACCAGGCACAACAGCTTCTCCTCCAGCGTGTGTCTGCGGATCACCTGCACAGACAAAGTCCCAAGAGTCTTTACCTACAGAAGCAACACAACTCATACCCCTGCTCACTGTCCCATAGACCTGGGGTGTGGGGTTTTACTGCAATGCAATTAGGAAACAAACACAAAATTTTAAAAGAGCAAAATAAAAACCAATTACTATAAAGTTTAAGACATTGGTGACTGATACAGACATGTAAGTGAAAAATCCTAAATAAAACTATAAAAAAGAAAAATAATGTTTATCAGCAGTATGTTTTGTTTTATTGTGAGTAATTGTATTTGTTTATTGTAAAGGTGGACATTTAGCATTCAGTACAGTTTTCAATAAAAAGTAATTAAAATTTCAAAAAAACCAACAACATAAAAACTGTATGCCAAATATAGTCAGGAGCTTCATGAAACATTTGCAGAGAAAATTCAGTAACCTGTGTGTATTTAGTTAAAGAGCAGGGGCACCACACTGTGGAGAGCAGTTTGTGTTCCCTCTAAAAGCTATGCACAGAATTAATGTGCTATCCAGCAATTCTGTAGATGTGGAGGTTAGGAAGTGCCAGGGCTGCAGAGATAGGTTTACACCTACCACTCAGCCTGGATAGGTGGCACAGAAAGGGAGTAGCCAGGCAGGCAGTACCAACAAGGAAAATAGGCCTGAGGCATGGCCGGGCATGGTGGGGACAGTTGTTCAACAAAACTGGGAGGCACAGCTCCTCCTCAGGCACACAAGAGAATCCCAGTCCAGTGCTGCTAGCTCTTCCAGTTTCTAAGAAAAAGTGGAAATGCAGAAGTTTACATGAAAATGCCCTATCCTCTTTTTTTGAGATAGGGTCCCACTATGTAACCCTGGCTAGCCTGGAACTTACATACTATCTACATAGCAGGTTGGTCTTGAACTCTGAGATCCATATGCCTTTGCCTCCAGAGTGCTGGAACTAAAGCCATGTGCCACATATCCAGCTGAAAACCTTTAAAAAAGTTTTAAATTTATATATATGTACCTGCATGAGTTTAGCGTGCACCACATACATGCAAGTACCCACAGAGGCCAGAAGACAGTATCAGATCTCCTGCAGCTGGAGTTATAGCCAGTTGTAAGCTGCCTGATGTGGGTGCTGGGAATCAAACCTGGACCTTCTTCTGCAAGAGCAGCAAGTGTTCTTAACCTCCTGCCCCCAAACTCCCTCTTTGAAGTCGTGAATACCACACTCTATTTGTTTGAAAATATGCAGAACATAAAATCTGCATTGTGCTGTGCAATCACCACCACCTTTAGAACTTTTATTCCCTCTAAAACTGAAACTTCATTCATGAAACAGTAACTCTCTAGTCTTCCCTTCTGATGCCCCTGGCAACTACCATTCTACTTTTTTTTTGAGACAGGGTCTCTCCCTGTAGCCTCAGCTGGCCTGGATCTCAGAGATCTGCCCGCCTCCCAGCTGCTGAAATTAAAGGTGTGAGCTACTACAACCAGGATTCTACATTAAAAAATATATATTTTATTTATTATTTTTATTTTATGTGTATGCATGTATTGCCTGCCTGCATGTAGGTAAGTGTACCCATGTAGTGCAATGCCCGCGGAGGACAGAAGAGGCTGTTGGAGCCCCTGGTACTGGAGTTATGGAGTTGTTAGCTGCCATGTGGGTGCTGGGATTCAAACCCAAGTCTTCTGCAAGAACTGTCAGTGTTCTTAACTGCTGAGCCACCTCTCCAGCCCGGATTCTATATATTTTTTAATTACAATTTTTTCTTTACATTTGTGTGTGAGTGCGCATACTTGTAAACATATGTATATGGGCCTACATGTAGGTGAAAGGGTAATTCTTGGGAGTTCCTGGTTCTCTACTGCCACCTTTTGGGATCTGGATATCTCTTTGTGAACTCTTGTCAGGTCTGGGAGTCTGAGAGTAAGGGTCTCCACTAGTCCCTGTTCCTTCTAACCTTTTTCTCTCCCCCCGCCCCCACCCAGGGCTGGGACTTAAATCTAGGACCCTGTACATGGTAAGCAAGTGCTCTGCCACTGAGCTATATTCCCAAACCCTTCACCTTTCTACTTTGTCTGATTTGACTCCACTAAGTACCTCATGTAAGTAGAATCACAGGAACTACCATTCTGGTGACTGGTATTGTTCTCAAGGTGATCCAGCTACATTATAGTGTCAGAATTTCCTGAAAACATTAAAAGATACTCTGCATACTAAACAAGGGGGCGGGTAATACTGCCTCCCTTAAAAGTCCTCAGCATTTTAATTTTTGAAAGTTTTGGAAATCAGTAACACAGGAACTAAGTAAGTATCAATCAAATGCTGTGTCAGGACTCCCTGTATGGTTGCCTGGTTCCCTATACGCTATGGGGAGGCCTATCATGGACATGGATGTATATCTGCAGATACTGATGGCCCCTGGACTGTGGTTCTCTAGGCACTATGGTCAAACTCTGCTCACTTGTCTCTCTATGGCTGATGTCATTTTCCGGATGGATTCTTTGGAAAGATACCACCTTACCGCATTAGGCAAGGCCCACCTCCCACAAGGGTGGAGAACATACTTCTTCACACCTGTGAATGAACTATGAAGCACCAGGTTCTTTGTTTTGTATAATCCTACAATAATGGCTGAAAACTGCTAAGAACAAGCATGTGGTAGTTCAAGTTCAGACACCTTTGATTTTCACCAAATACAAATGTGCAGAGGCCCCTATACCAATGAAAAAATGTCAACTGTACAGATGGACAAGTGTGGCCCACAGCCACCCTCTGGAGGGAGCTCAGCCAGCCTCAGAGACATTCCTCCAGCCTTTCTGCCTTAACTCACAAGACCTCACCAGGAATGCTTCTACCCCCTCTGTGGGCCACTTAATACCTGTGGCCCTAAGCATGTCTACTTTCCAGGCAAACTCAGCCTATCCCTCAGCTCCGACAGCACCACACCTTCCCTTGGTTAAACCTTATGTTCTCTGCTCTCCATGACCTTACTTCCAGGGTCCCTAAGGCACTGAACATTGAGACTTGTTTGCCACATGTACCTATTACTGAGAGCCCAGAGTGTGCTAAGTCAGTTCTGCAGTAGCAGATGCCTCACTGTTTCAAGAGTTCTGTGTGGGCCACATAAACTGAGGTCTGTTTTAGTGACATTCTCCCTGCTGAGCTGCTCAGGCTTCCTGGCAGGAACAGCAGTTCAGAGGCTGAGAAGAAGCAAGCCTGATCACCATGCTGTTCAGAGGTTTCACCTTGTCAATCAGGTTGGCTTGCAGCAGGTCAATCTTCAGTGTCCTCCCTGGCATCCATTCAGGGGACAGGAGCACTGGCCACTCAGGCACACAGAGAAAAGGGTGGAGCCAGAGTCTGTGGGGGGCCCAGCAAGGGGTCAGCTAACATCTCCAGCTCTCTCCTTCCTATACCTACAGCCCTGACCCAGGGATCACACAAACTAAATATAACAATTAAACACAGTTCCTGATTGCCCACGGTTCAGGTACTGGCATGCAAGCAGGATAAACACAAGCAGCTGCCATGGGGGGACAATGACCCTAACCAAGCACCAGGCACTGGCTTCAGTCCCGATGGTAAACATGACTGCTTCTTACACACCTGCCCTTCACAGGCCTGCAACCTGTTCTACCATGTGAGCCCAACAGATGAGGAGGGCCAGGCACAGCTTAGCTGTAGGGACTCAACACTCACCCACTTGGCAATGGGACACCCTCGGGAGCTCTTCCCCTCCTTCCCTGTGTAGATGACCTTCTCAATCCGGATGGCTTTCCCCTTTTCTCCAGACCTAAAAAGGGAGACAGAAGCTGCCATCAGCACAGTGAAGACTAAGAGCAGAAAACTGAACAGGACAAGGCAGGCCCCAGGGTGCCATAGCTCTGGCTTCTAGCTACTGAGGGGGCAACAGAGAAGAAGAAAAGGTTCAGAGGCTCTGAAGGCACAGTGACTACATTCCCAAGTCTTGGCTCACCTGCTCCTCCTCTGCTCCTGTCCTCCTGGCCTGTCTGTTTACCAGGCAGAGGGGCAATTAGGCAGAATAGTCCCTGATTACTAATGACTTTGGGTCATTACTAATGAAGTTTGGGTTCAGAAGGGGCCTGAACCCAAAGGCTAAACACAGGCATTTGCACCCATTCCTGTTGGCTGAGCAACCACAAGTTAGCTTTTTTTTTTTTTTTTTTTCTTCTTTGAGACAGGTCTCCCTGTAGCTCCAGCTGTCCTGGAACACACTATGTAGACCAGGCTGGCCTTGAACTCACAGAGATCCACCAGCCTCTGCCTCCCGAGTGCTGGGATTAAAGGCGTGTACCACCACGCCCGGCTACAAATTAGCTATTTATAAATTCAATATGTAAATGAAAGTAAGGGAGACCCTTATTGACCTCTTGTAACCACTCCAGTTGATCTCTGAATACAAGGATGTTGGGGGAGTGACCCTGCCAAACACAAAAGGCCTCTGGCACCATCTACTCAACCACACCACAGTCAATGGAGATATAACAATGACTACAGAGTTGAACTGACTTAGTCAGGTCCACACAACTACATAGGGCAAAGGTGGTTCAAATACAGCCTGGGCAGTCAGATAGATTGGGTTTGAGGGCCAGGTCAGTCACTTTCTAGATATATAATCGTGGACAATTACTAAGTTTCTCTGAGCCTAGGTTTTCTCCTCTTTAAAATGGAGATAAAAACAGCTCCTACTAGGTCTGGAGAGATGGCTCAGTGGATAAGAGCACTTGCTGCTCTTGGTTTTCAGCCCTCACATGGCAGCTAACAACTGCCCGTAACTCCCATTCCAGGGGATCCAATGCTTTCTTCTGGCCTTTGCAGGCACCAAGCACACATGTGGGGCATATACATACATGCCAGCAAAACACAGGAAAAAAAAAAAATCTTTGAGGGGCTGGAAAGATGGCTCAGTGGTTAAGAGCACTGACTGCTCTTGCAAAGGACCCGTGTTTGATTCCCAGCACCCACATGATGGCTGAGAACCATTCTTAACTCCAGTTCCAGGGGAATCCAAAGCCCTCTTCTGATCTCCGCGGCATTGCACGGCATGGGTGCATTCACATACATGCAGGCAATATACTCATACACATAAAATAAAAATAAAATATTTTTAAAAATCTTTGAAAGAAATAGCTCCTATCTCCTAGGCTTGGTAGTGTACATATAATTAGTGCTTTAAAGTTCCTAGGATGAGGGAGGAGTCAAGAAATCGCTTTAATAACATAAAAGTCATCTTCCTTTTAATCGGTTTTTAGTATCTTCTACAAACAAATGTCACTTGCTACCCTCCATTATGAACCTGTACAGTCTATCCAGTCTTGTCTGTCTCTCTGAACTGGCCCAGTGCCCCTATCATGCTATAAGAGTTTTTGCTCTCTTCTGGACATCACTGAAAATATTCTTAACAATCTCTGAAGCTGGCTGGCACTGGGGACAGACTTCCTTATTTTGAAGGGTACTATTGAGGATCTCCTGTTCTAAGGGCCTTTTAGCCAGACATCAACTAACTTACTAACTGCATTTTTAACATATAAGGAGACAGATGACTGAAGAGTTTTCTTTTTATCAATTAAGATGGCATTTAAAAAAATGTGTATATGTGTCTGCATGAAGTATGCACATACGTGTGAGTGTGCATGCCTGTGAGCAAAGGGAGAACAAAGAGGATACTGGCTCCTATGGAGCTGGAGTTCCGGGCATTTGTAGGATGTCTGGTTTCTCATGTGGGTACTGGGATCCAAACTCTGATCCTCATGATTGTGCAGCTAGCACTCTTAACTGTTGAGCAATTTTTTAGTTTCAACATGGTATGCTTTTTTTTTTGAAAATCTCCCTGTAGTCCCAGATGTCCTAGAACTCATATGTAGACAAGGCTGGACTCAATCTCACAGAGATCTACCTGTCTCTGCCTCCTGCATGCTGAGACTAACAGTGTGCATCACCACACTTGGCTATTTAACAGACTGTCTCAATAAAAACAAAAAAAGTCTTTGTATTTCTGTAATGAATTCAGTTTGATTCTGGCAGTTGTGGTGAATAGCTTGTTGACAACTAGACACACCTGGGTGAGGGAACTTCAGCTGAGGAATTTCCTCCATTGGGTTGGCCTGTGGCCATGTCTGTGGGGCATTTTCTTGATTGTTGAGTGGTGCCACACATGGGCAGGTGGTCCTGCGTTGTATAAGAAAGAAGACTAAGCAGGCCAGCGGAGCAAGCCAGCAAGCAGCGTTCCCCCATGGCCTGTGCTTCAGCTCCTGCCTCCAGGTTCCTGCCCTGAGTTCCCTCAGTGATAAACTGCGACCTGGGAGGTGTAAGATAAAATAAACCCTCTTCCCCAAGTTGTTTTTGGTCAGTGTTTTGTCATGGCAAAAGAAAGCAAACTAGAACAGAATTTCATTTAAATATACTATTTAATAAGGCATAATGCTATCACAGTTTTTACTGTCTTAGAGTACCCTTTGTTATCTCATCAGCTCTACTTCTAGGAATCACTACCTCCAAAAGAGCAGGACATAGGCACCAGGCTTGGCTGTTGCTCAGTGGTATAGCAGTAGGCATTATTAATCCCACTTAGTCCAAAATTTCTCTACATACCTAAGTATATATTTATAAATGCTTAGAAAAATAAAAACCTTTAAAAAAGTGCTTTGTGGGAAGAACAGAAGCTGAGAAATTTTACTCATTCGGCACTTAGCCTTTTAGTTGGCTAAGTTTTTTCATTTATTTATGTTTATTTTATGTGTATGAGGATTTTGTGTACATGCACCCATTTGTGCAATGCCCACAGAGGGCAAAAGAGGGCACTGGATCCCCTGGAACTGGAATTAAGGACAATTGTTAGCTGCCCTGTAGGTACTGGGAACTGAACCTGGGGTCTCTGTAAGAACAGCCAGAACTCTTAATCTAAGCTATCTCTCAAGCCCTAGTTGGTTGTTTGTTGAGGAAGGGTCTCACTGAGTAGCTCTGGCTGGCCCGGAACTCAAAATCATCACGGTTTCAGCCTCCTAAGGTTTGGGATTACATGCAAGTGCCACCATGCTCTGCCAATACCTAGACGTTGTTTAAAAAAAAAAAGCCTCCTTGCTTCATTTTTGTCATGGAAAAAGGGAAGAGTTTCTTTCCCAAATGCAGAGCTAAGTTTAGTCTCCCTGCAGATCTTAGGGAAGGGTAAGAAGTGCTTCAGTTACTGCCACATTAGCAGGGGAAGGTTATGAGTCCCTGTAGGAACTTGGAGCTGCGATGCAGTGTCTCTATAGCATTACCACACACTAATGCTTTAGTTTGGAGCCTGGACAACTCTCAGTTCTACAAGCTTTATCAGGACATGGCCCACAAGGTCAGGCCTGGGACCTGGATTTGTCTGGGGATCCCTGTTGGGAGACCAGCCTGAGGTGGCCACACCACTCTCAGTGAGAGGGACTATCATGTTCCCCACCTCCTTTCTCTACCATTGTGTGCTAGTGAAAAACATCCTGCAGTGAGCCTCACATTAGAGATCAAATGAAAGAGCCAAGGACTCCTGATCAGCTACACCCTTTAAAAAAATTTTTTTTATTGATTATCTTATGCATATGAATGTCCTGCCTGCATGCATGTAAGTGCACCTATGTTGTGCAACCCCATGGAGGTCAAGAGAGGGCATCAGATCCCCTGCAACTGGAGTTACAGAAGGTTGTTAGCTGTTATGTGGGTACTGGGAATCAAACTCAGGGCCTCTGCAAGAGCAGTCAGTGCTCTTAACTGCTAAACCATCTCTCCAGTCCCACCCCTTTTATAATCTTTTTGACATTTATTTATTGTGGGGGGGGCAGGAGAGTCATGGTGTGAGAGTGTGTGTAGAAGTCAGAGGACAACTTGCAGGAGTTGGTTCTCTCCTTTCACCACGTAGGTTTCAGGTTGCTAGGCTTGACAGCAAGCACCTTTACCCACTGAGCTATCTCAAGGGCCCTCTTTTTCCTCTTAAAACAAAACTGGTTGTTTCTGTATTTAAAGATAACCAACCAAGGGGCTGGAGAGATGGCTCAGCAGCTAAAAGCATTTGCTGCTCTTGCAGAGGACCCAGGTTTGGTTCCCAGCATCCCCATGGCAGCTAACAATCATCTGTAACTCTAGTTCTAGGGGATTCGACACCTTCTTCTGACCTCTGAAGGCACTGTACACATGTATGCACTTACATACATGCTTACAAAATACTCATACACACACACACAAACACATACACAGAAAAAAAATAAAGACAACCAAGCACCCCTGCTTTAGTTCTTTCTCCTTAAAGGTCTTACTTCCTGGCCTCTTCTGAAGAGGCCCATCTGGTATGACCTCCCGTCTAATGAGTTTGTAAAGGACAGGCTGAAGCCTCACTCCGAGGAAAAGTTTAGCTCATGGTTCTTGAAGGATGGCCCCAGGATCAGCAGCACAGGACTCACTGGAAGCTGGGCAAGTAGGGTCAAGAGGTAAGATCTCAAGTCCCAGCTCAGACCCACATGGGGCCCAGCATCTTGTCCTTTCACAAGCCCTTAGTGGTCAAATTTAAGAAGCGCTAAAGCTGGGCTTCCTTAGGGTTAGCTCTAGCACACTAATGAGATCAGTTCTGTCAAAGCTCAGAAGATGTGTGAGTGTAGTGTGGGTTCTCTACAGGGTTAGGCTGCATAGGATCCCTTTCCCAGCAGAGCTCCAGGCTCTGAGCAGACTGGAGCTTGACAATGAATTCTAACATTCTATGAACACCAGGTCCTAGTGCCCAGAGGTATGAAGCTATAAATATATTGGGATATTTTAGAATTTGCTCTCAACCCTGTCCCCTTCTCTATATCTGTACTCAAAAAAAGCTAAAAGCACCAGCATCTCCTTGATTTCGGTGTGTGTCCTCTCCCTGATGTTAGCCAGCTCCTGACAGTTTAGTGCTCCTACAAATAGTGGGGAGAAAGGTCCAGAGAAAGTCAGGTGGGACCATTCACAAACTCGACCCCTGCTCCCCACCCTCACTAAGGAATTTCTCTCATTCATTCCTCTCGTTGGTTCCAGAAAAGATCTTAGTAAGATGGCTGTAAGATAAAATCAGAGAAGAGAGGAAAGGGACAGATATGCTGGTATACAAAATATGGTGACCCTGGAGTATTTTGTCACATGGAGAAATCAGAAACATTAACTAAGATTCCTTAGGATTGTGACCAAAGGAAAAAAAAATCAGGAGTGATCTGAATAGCCTCTCACCCCCAAAGGTGAGATGTCACATGCCCCTTGGGGTGGGTATGTGGCTTGACTCTCAATTCACCGGCAACTTATTCCATGATTCAGAAGGTCCTGAGAATGAAAATAAGCTAGCTGCTGAGGAAAAGTGCAGTATTCCCGGCCCTGTGAGGGATTCCTCTTTCGGATCAGTTGGCTGTTCTTTTTAAAGCAATGAGGGAAAAAAATGCAATCTCAACTCTATTGCTCCCTCCCAATCCTCATTTCAGAATGTACTCTGCTACAATTACAAGTTGTTTAGAAAACTGCCTGGAAATCTTATAAAAGTATTGCCCCTTCCCCCGAAAAGAAAAACAAAACAAAACAAAGAAAATCAAACTAAAATTAAATACTGCTCCCAAATAAAACTTGAATATGTGGGGCTAGAGAAATGGCTCAGCAGTTAAGAGCACTTGCTGTTCTTGCAGAGAACCAAGCACCCACATGGCAGCTCACAACCATCTGTCAGCCCAATTCCAGGGGATCCAACACCCTCTTCTGCCCTCTTAGAGCACTGCATGCACCTACATGCAGGCAAAATACTCATGAACATAAAATACAAATAAATAAGAAAAAATTAAAAAATCTTGTACATGTGACTATTCTGAGACAAATGATGGTATTGCAATTCCTTGCCAAAACCAATGGCCAAACCTGGTATGATGGCTTACACCTGTAATCCCAACGCTTGGCAGGTAAGAACAGGAAGACCAAGAGTTAAATGCCAGCCTGATACATAGCAGACAAGCCTGGGCTACATAAAACTAGCTCAAAACAAACAGAGATAGCTCTGTGGTTAAGAGCACTGACTGCTTTTGCAGAGGACCCGGGTTCGGTTCCCAGCAGCTAACAACTGTTCTTAACTCCAGTAAGAGGAGATCCAACACCCTCTCCTGGCTTCTGCAGGCATTGTATGACACGGGTACACTTATATGCATGCAACACACTCATATACATAAAATAAAAATATTTTAAGTATTTTATTTATTATTTTTATGTGCATGAATGTTATGCCTGCATGTAGGTAAGTGCACCTGTGTTGTGCAGTGCCCGCGGAGGACAGAAGAGGCTGTTGGATCCCCTGGAACTGGAGTTATGGATAGTTGTTAGCTGCCATGTGGGTGCTGGGATTCGAACCTGGGTCTTCTGCAAGAACAGTCAGTGTTCTTAACTGAGCCATCTCTCCAGCCTCCAAAATAAAAATATTTTAAAACAAATAACACCCTTCTCCCCACCCCCAAAATTACTCCTCCAAAACAAAAAGGTCACTGCTCAAATGTTGCCTACCCCAGTTTGCAAGCTGCAGCAGGCATGTGTGACATGGAGGCCCATGGTGAGCACATATGGCACACACAGCTTTAAGTCTGTTGTCCTAGGTTCAGGTGGGCCCTTTAAATCAGGATTGGATTTAGAGTGGGTCTTTGATCAAATGGGCTTTTCTGATGGGCAACTTTGAATAGAAATATTTCCAGATGGCATAGGAAATGAAGAGTCATTACCCCAGATCAATGACTTCCATCCATCTCGGCTTATAGCAGATCAGTTCTCCATCCTGTTCCCTGCTGTGTTGACAGTTCTGGCCTTGCTACCATGTTTGTGGAAATGCTCAGCCACTCAGCCCTTTACAAAACAGCATCCATATGCATGAGCAAACACAGCCACACGTCCATTTCACGTTTGCCTTCTTTCTAAAAAATTCTAATGTTTATTTTTAAAAAAGTGCCACCAACACACACGTGGATGACAGAGGCTACCCACCCTTTCCAGAGCATTTATAGCAAACACTTCATGGTTTTCACACAAGTTCAGTCTACCCTCAGAACACACACTCCCACAGTGTGTGTACTTTTGTCCCCTCAGTTTTGTAGATAAGAAAACTGGATCACAGAGAAACAGAACAACTGATCCAAGGATGCAGCAGTCAGTCATGGCCAAGACTGGACTCAGGTAACCACAGCACCTATGCTCATAGCCGCTGAGCTGCCTTACTGCCATGGACTGGAACTCAGCACTGCTGTGTGTTGTAGCCCATGCAAAGAAAGACCTTAGGCTCTCTATATGAATTGCTAAAAAAGTGATAATAAAATAGAAAAAAGAAGGAGAAAAAGATCTGAAAGTTAAAAGTTTACAGATTTAACTCAACTCAGTCTTTTTGGTGTGTTTTCAAAAAAGTTATTTTTTAAAATTATGTATGTCTGATGACTTTATATCCATACACAGGTGCCAAGGATCCAAATGCAAACAAACACGACTAGTAATAATCAGATAATACAGATTAGAGATGTATGCATCAACATCTAAGTGTTATTAACAAAAACAATGAGTCTTTCTGTAAGAAACAGTATATTTTAAAATGAAATGGCGATCTTTTTTAAAGGTTAAAAACTCATTCAATTTTATGTCTTACAGGGTTTATACTGAGTTCAACATTGTATAACTGTATTAATTTAACTGTGAACCTAGAAACTTTCAGCCACTTGTGAAAGAGATGTACTCTTGCTCTGGAGTGTGTTACTGAATATGTTAAAGCTGTAATGAAATATTTTATAGCCACTTTTGAAAGAGATGTATCTTTGCTCTGGAAATTGTTGTTGAGTATGTTAAAGCTGTAATGAAATGCTTCTTCTCAAAAAAAAAAAATATGTGTGTGTTTCAGGGGGAGCATGTGTATGTGTGAATGCAGTGCCCTGAGAGGCCAGAAGAGGGCATCAGATACCCCTGGAGGTGGACTTACAGGTGGCTAACAAGTCCTGCTCCCCAACATGGGTGCTGAGAACCAAACTCCACCCTCTACAAGAACAATACACTTACTCTTTTAACCACTGAGCAATCTCTCTAAAGTAGCCTAAAACAATGGACCACATTGTAGCAATGGACATCCTGACCCTTAGTAGCCAAAATCTTTCAGGATTTCTTGCATAAGTGCACAATATGAAGTCAGAACATTTTGTCATAGAGGAAACCAAGATAGATGCCACCTATAAAGTAGTTTTGAGGGGGTAGGGAAAAAAATCCCCAACAAGAAACCCCACCTAATTCCATCAAGAATTTGAACTCTAACTACTCATTTGTGGGATGCCAAGGAAGGAGAAGAGTTTGTTAAGCACACTGCAGGAAAGCTATCTGCAAAACTCAGGCTATGAGAAACTAACTCTGCAGGACATATAACGACACAGTTGTTTCTTCAAGAAAAGTATTTCATGAACAGGGGCAAGGGCAGGGGCACACAGAGGGCAGACCAATAGAGGGCATGAAAGCCAGGACTAGAAGTGAGAACCCACATTCAACCTGCCACCATCTGGATGTAGGGGTTCACTCTGAATTCAATCTAGTGCAAAGCAATAAACACAGGTGCTAAACATAAACATTCCATCAACACGCCCACTCCTCCTTGGATATCTGTGCAACACTCACCGCTCCTCCATGAGTTCCCGGATAGAGGCTACTGTGGGGCCAGATCCCAGGTGAGTGTAATATGGACCTTCATCTTTTTCCACTATTTGTTCTGTAGAAACACCAAGAGCAATCATTATTTGGAGAGACCAGTCAACACTAATTTAGAAAGGCAAACCTCTAATACGAGAATTAATAAGCATGTTGCAAATGGCTTATAAACATATAAAATGTGTTCAATCCGTTTTGAAATCAAGAAACATAATAAATTCACAATAAAACAACCACCAAATGAACCAAAATTCAGAAATCTGTTAAGTATTGTCAAGACTATGGCCTAAGCACTTTAGAACTCAGCTCACCATCAGCCAATAAAGCTGGAGTCACGTGCTGCAGGGCCAGCCATTCCACTTCTCTATACACTCTAGACCAGGATTCAGAAAGCTACTCTCTAGATATCACAGAAAAGCATCAAACACCAACACTCACAGCAGCAGCACTCAGAAACAGATGAAAGGGTAAATTAAATTTGGTATACCCATATCCATTCAACAGAACATCACTGAGCCCCAAGAAAGAATGAAGTTCTTTGCTGCAGTATTGGGGATTGGATCTAAGGCCTTATGCATATTATATAAACACTCTATCAATGAGCTATCCCCAGTCCCTTAAAAAAAAATTAAGAAGCCAGACGCAGTGGTGCATGCCTTTAGTCCCAGCACTTGGGAGGCAGAGGCAGGCGGATCTCTGAGTTCAAGGCCAGCCCAGTCTACATAGTGAGTTTTAGGCCAGGTGGGGCTACAGGGTAGAACCTGTCTCAAAAAGACCGCCCCCCCAAAAAAATTTAAGATAGGGTATCACTAGATTATATTTGCACTTGAAGTCCATCTGCCTCAGAGTGAATGAGATTACAGAACTGTGCCACCAGGCCTATCAGGAATGAAGTTATAAATGCTATTACACAGACGAACCTGAGTGAACTACATCAGACACAAGAGGACAAATACTGAGCTAGATGTGGTGCTGCATGACTATAAGCCCAGCATCTGTGTAGATCAGGAGTCAAAGACAGCCTTAGCTACACAACAAGTTCAAGGCCAACCTGGGCTACATGAGACCCCATCTCAAAAATGGAAACAAAAACAAAACCATAAATACTATAAGACTTCACTTACATGAATTATCTAAAAGAGGCAAATTCATTGGCCAAAAGAAAACAGACAGGAGGTTATCAAGGGCTGGAGGAATAAGGAATGGAGAAATCACTGCTTAATGGATACAGAGTTTCTGTTTATGGTGATTAAATAAGTTTTGGAAATGGGTGACAGTAGTACAATATTGCACATATGATTAATGCCACTAAACTGCATGCTCATTTATACGTGATTACAATGTAAAACCATCGTTCAAAAATAGAAATGGGTTAGGGGGGTTGGAGAGATGGCTCAGCAGTTAAGAGCATTGGCTGTGCTTGCAAAGGACTCAGGTTTGGTTCTCAGCACCCAAATGGCAGCTAACAACCATCCATAACTCCAGTTCCAGGGAATCCAATGCTCTCTTCTGGTCTCTGTGGGCACTGCATGCATGAGTGCACTTATATACATATAAGCAAAACATCCATACACATAAATAAACATAAATATATCTTAAAATTTTTTAAATAGAAATGGGGCTGATGAGATGCCTCAGTGGGTAAAGGTGCATGCCCAGCAAGCCTGGAGACCTGAACTTGATCCCCAGGCCCCACATGGTAGAAAGAGTCCCACAAGATTTTCTCTGACCTCCACACTCACTCTGAGGCATGCATGCCTTCTCCTCCCAATTAAATTTAATATTTAAAAAATTAATAAATATTTGAAATCAAATATTGACACATGCTATGTCATGCAGGAGCCCTGAAGACATTACATTAAGTGAAATAAGGCAAATTCGGAAAGGTTCCACCTCCATGACTCTATTCATGTGAAGCATCCTGAGTAGACAAATCTATGGCAACAGAAAGCAAATGGGTGTTTCAACAGTAGTGTTTGGGGGAAGAGAGGAGATATAACTGTTTCACCACTATAGGGTTCAATTTGGTAGTACTGAAAATATTTGGGAATTAGACGAGACATGGTTGCACGATGTTGTGAATGCAGTCGCTGCCACTGAACAGCTTGCTTTAAAATGGCTAATTTCTCTGTGTGTGGTGGCACATACCTTTAGTCCTAGCACTTGGGAGGCAGAGGCAGGTGGATAGCTCTGAATTCGAAGCCAGCCTGGTCTACATAGATGAGTTCCAGGACAGCTGGGGCTACAGGGAGACCCTGTTTGAAAAAGACAAAAAAGATATAAAAATGGCCAACAAATACATGGAACATGTTGGGTCACCTCACTGTAAAAAAACAATAACAACAACAACAACAAAAAACAAAAAAACCCCCAAAAACTATTAGGTAGGGCATGGGTGATACACGTCTTTAATCCCAGAGGCAGAGGCTGGTAGATTTCTGTGTGCTCAGACCAGCCTGGTCTACAAAGCGAGTTCCAGGCCAGCCGAGGCTACACAATGATACCCTATCTCGAAAAACAAAACAAGCTGGGGCACACACTTTTATTCCTAGCACTCAGGTGGCAGAGGCAGGTGGGTTTCTGTGAGATGGAGGTTAACCAGGTCTATATAGCAAGTTCCAGGCCGGCTGGGGCAACAGGGAGACCCTGTCCCAAAACAAAGCACCAAAGCAAAACAAAAAGAACAGCTGAATCATGTAACTTTATAACTGAGTTTTAAAGAAATTTTTATTTATTATTTTTATTTTATGTGTATGCGTGTATTGCCTGCATGTAGGTCAGTGCACCCATGTCGTGCAATGCCCAAGGAGGTCAGAAGAGGCTGTCGGATCCCCTGGGACTGGAGTTACGGACAGTTGTTAGCTGCCATGTGGGTGCTGGGATTTGGACGTGGGTCTTCTGCAAGAACAACCAGTGTTCTTAACTGCTGAGTCATCATTCCAGACCTTAAATAAATTTTTCTAAGTGAAAGAAATCAGACTTCAAAGGCAATAGTAAGTGTTATGACAGGATACTATGAAACTAAACTAAAACTAATGTAGACTACATACATATGCCACATATACTCTAAGTTGGGAAATGTGGTTCATGTCAAAGGAGACATGACAACATGCAATAGAAAAAGGAAACTAATGGAAACTCATTGATGGGTTTAAAAGTCTCATGAGTCCCACTATAGTAATGTTAACTTCTTACTTTTAATTGTACCATCATTATGTAAGGCAATTTACATGAAAGAAGGTATGCTGATATATACAGGAACTTAATGTACCAATGTTACAGCTTTCCTACAAATGTAAAATTATTAAAACTAAACTGTGGGTTAAGTAAAGGGGGGGCAGTGAGATGGCTTGGTGGGTAAAGATACTTGCCACCCAGCCTGATGACTTGGGAGACCCACACAGTAAGAGAGAACTGACTTCTGCAAGTTGTCCTCTGACCTTTACATGCATGAGGTGGCATGCATACCCCACATGCACATGAACATACATACACACAAGGAATAAATGTATAAAAAAATTAAAAATAAAACCATGCAAATCTGTAATTTGTGATCTGTAGCATAAGAAATTCTGGTCACACATATCAAAAACATGTGAAAAGATTTTCATAGTATCAAAATCAAGCCAAAACTGGAAGCATGCTAAGCGTAGAATGTGTGTTTCCTCCCCTAAAGTCATAAGCTGAAGCCTAACCCTCAATGTACTAAGCACTGGGAGGTGAAGTTTCTGAGAAGTAATTAGGCCACGAAAGTACGAGCCCTGGGATTGGAAAGATGGCTCAGCAGTTAAGAATTCTGGCTGCTCTTTCAGAAGACCAGACAGAGTTTGATTCCCAGTACCCACATTGGGCAGCTTATAATTCCCAGCTGCCAAGCTGAGAAACGTTTAAGCTGCCTAGTGCATGGTATTTGTGTCATAACAGCCCACACTAACACACATTCATGATCTAGCAATAGTGTAGCAGTCACACACTGGGACACAGCCAGAATTAACATCTTCAACCGCTGCACCAGGCCTGTCAACACACGAGTGAAAGAAGCCCAAGACCATGCCAGCAAAACCAGACTCCATTTAACTATTCAAAGGCAGGTTCAACTAAACTACTGCTTAGAACTCCAAAGGGGTCAAAATGAGGAGGGTGAGAGATAAACCACAGATACTCAGGTCTGACCTACTGAAAATGCCATTTTCATATGGGCCAACCCTAATACAAAGAAAAGCAAGGAAGCCATTGTCACAGAGAAATGGTTTCCACTGGGAGGCAGGAGAGGAATGGGTAGCAAGGGAATACAGGAGTCCTAGGGCCTGGACATGGCCTCTATCTTGAAGTAGATGGTGGTGACATGAGTGATCGTTTTATAACTTTTTACTAAACTGTAAATGAATGCCTTGTGTACTGTACCATGTGAAGAATTCAAAACATTGTATCTGTAAAATGTTAAGTCCATACCCATTTATGCTTAGTTTTATGGAGGATATTAGACAGAATATATAACTACTCCCTTTAAGGAGTGAGTGCATCGTCTTACTGGATATATAGATGCTATCTCATGGTTTTTCACATCAAGGCAAAGGATGACATTTTCAATACATGATTTTGGGACAACTGGGAGGAATAATTTGTTTCATGGTTAAAAATTTAAAGGAAAAAAAAATCACAGAACTGGAGAGATGGCTCAGAGGTTAAGAGCTTGCTGCTCTGCCAGAGTACCTGAGTTCAGTTCTCAGCACCGATATCAGGTGACTCATAACTTGCCTCTAACTCCAGTTCCAGGGTATCCGACACCCTCTTCTGGCCTCTATGTGCACCTGCACACAGGTGGCAGACTCACAAAGACATACACACAAACCTATAGGTTAAAAGGTTTAGGCTGAGTGTGGTGGCACATACCTTTAATTCCACTGCCCAGGAGGCAGAGGCAGGTGGATCTCTGAGTTCCAGGCCAGCAGGCCTACACAGTGAGACTTTGTCTTTAATCCCCCACTCCCAAACACACACAAATGTGAAAGAAAAACAAACTGAAGACTTTCCAAATATCCATGGAGTAGGGGAGATCTT